CAGGCCTTGCTAAAATGATTCATGTGTTGTTGGAGGTCTTCAGCAGAGTGGGCAACAATGGCTGCATCATCAGCGAAGAGGAAGTCCCACATGCATTTCAGTTGGACTTTAGTCTTTGCTCTCAATCTAGAAAAATTAAAGAGCTTTCCATCTGATCTAGTCCAGTGATAGACACCTTCTGTTGCACTTCCAAAGGCCTGCTTCAGCATTACAGCAAGAAGATCCCAAACAGGGTTGGCGCGAGGACACAGTCTTGTTTTACACCGCTTGGGATGTCAAAGGGATCTGATGTTGAGTCATCAAAAACTACAGTGCCCTTCATATCCTTATGAAAGGACCTGATGATGTTAAGGAGTTGAGGTGGACATCCAATCTTGGGAAGTATTTTAAAAGGCCGTCCCTGCTAACCAAGTCAAAAGCCTTTGTGAGATCTATGAAGGCCACAAAGAGTGGCTGTTGTTGCTCTCTGCATTTCTCCTGCAACTGTCTGAGGGAAAATACCATGTTGGTGGTGGATCTATTAGCTCGAAATCCACACTGTGATTCTGGATAGACTCTGTCTGCAAGCACCTGGAGTCTCTTCAGCACAACACGGGCAAGCAGCTTCCCTACAATGCTGAGAAGAGAGATATCATGGTAGTTATTGCAGTCGCCCCTGTCGCCTTTGTTGTTGTCATTCCAGTGTCATGAAGGTGTAATGGTAGTATTTGTATTGTGGTTTGGTTTACAAATTGGTATTCATGTACATTTTTTGTATGATTCCTCTGGGAATCCAGATATGTTCCCTCCAATGGGGGCAACTTCCTGGCAATCAGAGCATGTAACTTTTGCTTCTTGGCATCATGGTTTGCTGAAAAATGGCATGGGACTATGTTACTTGGTTGTCCACATACACACATACATTCATTATATTGAATGGGACAAATAAGAATGCCAATGACAAAAGGCAATTTGTGTGTTAGAACAATTTTAGTGTCTGTTAAAAATTCTATATATGTCAAGTGTCTGAAGTTGGGGACATTATTGACTAATCTTAGGTTCTATTGTCATAGAATGCCTACATTGTAGATTGAAGTTGGGGACATTATTGACTACTCTTAGGTGCTATTGTCATAGAATGCCTACATTGTAGATGTAAGTCTGCTTCTGTTCTGCAATAAAAGATTACTCTAGGGGACTAAAATAGGTTTAAGGGCTAATGCTGGCAACCTGTTTTTGATTTCTAGTAGTTCCTATGTGACTTAAACTTACTCATGGAAACGTATAAGTCATCTACCTTGGTCCTTCACATCTTGTGTATCACTCTTATTACCACAGCAGATATTTGAAATGGACTGGCCTTTGTAAATATATTATTTTCTCTCTCTACAGATAATTTGATCAAAGCCATCCTGTCAGCAACCAAAGATTACCGCCTTACTCCAGCCCTTGATAGGTGAGTAGAAACTTCTTGGAGGCTGAAGGAGCCCACAGCAGTTGCTAGCCATGGTTAAAGGTCTTGTTTGTGGACTCTTAATTGGTTTTGAATAAAATGCAGAGCTGGAAATAATGCTCTTTTGCCATTTTATAGCATAAATAAAATAGAGATGGCAGGGTTTTTTTACCACTCCAGAATTTTTATTTTCTGCTAATATTGCAGTCTGTCTGCATTTCAAAATAAATGAAAAACTATCTTTCAACGAATGCATTAACTTGTCAGAGCTTCCCTTAAAGTGTAACAGTAAGGCAACAGGATTCTACAATATTTTAGTCAGACAAAATATAAGGTTTGGCTTGTTTTCACTAACAGGTTCTCCATTAAACCTAGTTTTTGTAGCTGAGGGGCAATGCAGTTGGATGACAGGACTAATGAATGGAAATTTCACCAGGCTCTTGTAGAGTTGTGTGGCCGTCCATTGCCGTGGTGCAGTTACTTTGGATATATCTATGTGCATATTTGTGTACATTGGCTGCTTCTTTTTGTTCTAGTTTTGTATAGCACATTTCACTTTTGTGATTGTGAACAATCAGAAAACTGGTGGCACATAGTAGAACTGAGCAAATTCTTGCTATCTAATGCTATCTTATCTGGCTGAATAGCTCAGTCAATGGGCTACCTGGCTGCAGAGTCAGAGGTTAGGTATTCAGTTCCCCACTGTGCCTCCTGTAGGAATAGGCAGTCTACGTAGCCTTGGGCAACCTACCCAGTCCCAGAACACCTCAAAAAGAGAGAGAGAGGGGTGGGGGAACAGTAAAACTCTTCTGAGTACTTTATACCTTGGAATCCCTAGGTCCCGTAAGTCAGAATTGGCTTGATGACGTGTTATTAGCATCTGCTCTCCTCCTTTTCCTCCTATTGTTCTAATGAGGTCTGTATTTCTTTCTAATGTCATGCCATATTGTACTAAATTTTCTTTTATTTAGTTAATGCTTGTAGCTCTGTGGTGCCCAACTGAAGGTCCATATTTGGAATTGAGGGCAAGAAGAGAATAACTCACTCTCATAATAACATACACAGATATGTGTACTACAGCTAGGACATGTTTGACATAGATTAAAGAGAAAGCACTAGGAGAGGCTCCAGAAAGTATACATGAAAGTGGGAAATTATGGGAACAGTGATGAGAGACTATAGACAACAATAATAAGTTTTACAAAATAGAAAAACTTTAACCCAGTGCTGGAACCTGGCAATTTCAAACAAATGCTTCTTCAAGTTTTTCACGATTGTGTATCATACAGCTTTTTGTTGGCTCATCTTAGAACAGAAAGAACAAATATCCTTTTCCCTACCACAAAGCATGAGAGTTAATCCAAGTTTGCACATTATTGTACATACTAGAAGCATCATGGAAACAAAGTGAGAAGATACAATTCCCTGTTGAAACAGGGAGCATTTTCCTTTTTGAATCAAAAATCCTTTCAGCATCTCATCTACCTAGAAGTATTTCCAAGAATTTGTCTTCTGTTTTGATAAGTTTGTATAGCTGTGGCCAGATGTACAGGCAGTCTACAGTTGTATAATACTTTTCACTCTACATCCCTTTGAAGCAAACTACAAAGGTTTCTTGCCAACCTAGCAGTTTGAAAGCGTGTAAAAATGCGAGTAGATAAATAGGTACCACCTCAGTGGGAAGGTAACAGCATTCCGTGTCTAGTCGTGCTGGCCACGTGACAACAGAAACTGTCTTCAGACAAACGCTGGCTCTATGGCTTCGAAACGGGGATGAGCACCGCCCCCTAGAGTCGGACACAACTGAACTAAATGTTAAGGGGAACTTTAACCTTTACCTTACAAAGGTTTCTACATATACAAAGGTTTCTACATGTCTTTTTATTTTTGATATCCCAAGACGTTGCCACTCTTCCCTTTCTATATGCTGGAATCAATGAAGTAACAAAGGATCAGATGGTATTTGGGAGCTCATTTTCAAAGAGTTATGCAAATTCTTCCCACAATATTTTTTTAAGAAATGTTATAAAGCAGCGAACAGGAACAATAGAATTAAGGGAATTTGGTAGTTTTTACTTAACTAGGCATGTTCTCCAGCCTCCAATCTGTAAATTTACTGATGACTTTCAAACAAAGCTCTGAAGTCTGCACTCCTGGTGCCCTGAGAAAATTCTGTGAAAAATCAACTTGCTTAGACTGAGTCCCTCATTTTTGTTAACCTTAGTGGGGTGCATGGGTGTCTGGTTAAGGGCAGTTCCTGGTTGGGGGGGGGACAGGCTTCACCAAGATGACCCAGTGGATCCCATTACATCGAACAGAAAATACCCCTCCCTGTAAAGACAATAATTATCCAATCAAATCTGCAACAAGAAAAAAATAACAAACATGACTCAAAATAACCCCAGAATGATCAGAGACAACACCATTGTGTGAACAAATCCAGAGTCTAATTGTGAGTTCAAAATAGAATGTGTGTTGTATGCTGTCAAGATGCACTAAACTTACAGTGACCCTGCTACAGTTTTTAAGACATGTGAGTTATTTAAGGATTGGCTTTACCATTGCTGCTACTACCCTGTTGAGTTTCCATGGTGAAGTGGAAATTTGAATCCAGGTCTCCTGAGTCCTTGTTCATCACTCGATCCACTACACCATACTGGCTCTTTTCAGCTAGAACAGATCCATTTAATTAATGGGAACTTGGTGAGCAGTTGGAACTATTAATTTGATTTAGTCCAAAGTTGTTTTTTACTTCTTCAGAACTACCATGAAACGCTGATATCCTCTTGCTGATGATAAAAACTGGAAAACTTTTTTTTCAGTCCAAAAGTGCCTTACATTGTCACTCAGTCCAAAAGTGACTTACAGTACATTCAGACACTATAGAACAGAACTTATTTTTCATTTATATCTCACCTAGGCTCTGTTGTGATTAAGGTAATGGATATTCTCTCCCCCTACCTAATTATCAAAACCACCAGGTGAAGTTAAGCTGAGAGAGAATATAATCATCATCACCATCTTAGAACTGCAGAGCTGGAAGGGACCCTAACTGTCCCAAGGTTACTTGCTGAGTTTCAAGGCTGTATATCAATCTGATCTTCTCTCTCCCTTGTTCTAATGTAATCTAACACTCTTAATCACTATATTATACCAGGCCTGATTACATCTTTCAGGCAGCAGAACATAGATGGCTCATGGGCCAAGTTAAGAAGACATCTCACCCCATAAGAAATCCTAAATAGAGGACAAGAGGAAATGGTCTTGAATGCCAGGAGAGAGATCTAGACCTTAAGGCCAAGATAACTAGGAAAAGAAGAGAAAAAGTGCTCCAATCCTTCACCTCACTAAAAATTTGAAGACCTTTTAAAGCAGCAGCCTTTTTGGCTCCTCACCATTTCTTTGAGCTTAATAGCTGGCTAATTCTGTAAGGATATGCTGAATGCTTGTCTTACGTAGCCCTGATATTCTGTGCTTTGTGGGTAGTTGGGGTGTCTGTATTGGGAGAGGGTCCTTGGGTTTCTTACAAAGACCATGCAGCTCATCTTTGTACTATATTACACTAGGTTAGCCTCCTGATCGTTCTTAATCTTACACTTGCTGATCCTTTCAACTATCATCTTCCCCATAGGGATTGTCAAAAATATTTATCTTTAGTATGGAATTGATTCCTGTCCCTGCATGCTTGGGAAGGTTGCCATTTAATCATACCCTGCTGTGTGCTTGATTAAGTAGCATTTGATTAAGCAGTTAGTAATCTCCTGAGCAAAAGGAGAATGAACTGCACTCCGTTTCACTGTCTAATAGGAAAGTGCCAACTTTTCCTAGCAGCTGTATTTTCATTAGGAAAAGAAACATTTTGTTAGCGATTTAAATGCAAGGTCTTCACTTTGAGCCAATGAGCTCAAGATGTAGTGAGAACACTTCCTCCCTTGGTTGCTTGCGTTGCTGTGCTCTCTGTACTATAAAGTGTCAGTCTGTTATTGTGAATTAATACATTGCAGTCTCCTGTTTGGGCTTCCAGTGTCTGGATCAGATCTTGACCAGAAGCAGCTCCGTGCTTACAGATCTTGTTTTTTAACCAACTGCTTTTCTATCTGTTTCCTTTCCAGTCTCAGTTGCCGGCGGTGTGTGATTGTGGGAAATGGTGGCATTCTAGCAAACAAGTCACTGGGGATGAAAATAGATGACTATGACATTGTTATCAGGTGAGTTTTCTGGTCAGAAGAGAGGATTAGGTATTTTATGGTTCTTTTCCTATATAGGATATCGGTGTCTACAGTGAGTTGTTAGCATCCATGGATTGTATTATTTGAAGCACTGGCAGAAGAAATTATTAATAGTGGGTTTTTTTCCAGTTGTAATTTTTTTCCCTCTTCAGTATTAAGAATGCCTGTTTTCTTGTGATCTACAAACCTATGCTGAGTACTATACAGTATTTATACATTATCATACATTATTATTGTCCTGTCATATTGATTAAAATTGAATCATACTAATTCTGGGCTCGCCCATTTGATATTAAAGGACAACTCTGTCGCCCCGTGAATGGAACTGTTAGAGAACAAATTGGGTGCTATGGATTCTCACATCAGTATCTAATGCCTATGAGTTACGACCAAGCCAAAAGTCTGATCAAACAAAGGATCTTAAGCCATAGAAAGGCAGCACAATCTGAATAGAGTTAAAGCACATATAAGGGATATCATCAATATCAATAGAAACACATCAATGCCTTATGTAAGCAAACTTGAAAATTCTGAAAGTAGAAGGGTGTTTATGTTAATCCATATGGACATACATTTATTTATTTATTTATTTATTTATTTATTTATTTATTTATTTATTTATTTATTTATTATTTACAAGATTGATTTTAACCACGCCGTTACCAGTGGTCTCAGAGCAGCATACAACAATATTAAACCTTTAAAAACATTAAAACCATTAAAAATAGACAAAATTATAATAATATCCTATATTAAAAACAATCATTAAAACATTAATATTAATAATTCCTAGTGCTCATAGGGCCAGCTAAAGAATACTATTTAATTAAAATGCTGGCTGAACAGAAAGGTCTTTGCCTGGTGCTGAAAAGCCAAAAGTGCTGGAGCCTTCTGCCGTCTTGGAGGGCAGATATAAGAAAATTCCATATTTGAATTGGATGTTTGTATGTGGTGAAGGAAGTATAGAGACCTTGGAGCATGTACTCTTGGAAAAGCTACATCAGTCCAATTATTTTGGACAGAGATAGAGGTGACAGGAAGGGCTGTTACCAGATCTTGCTAGAAGATAGAAATGAGGCTACAACTTACAATGTGGCCAAATTTGGCTGGCTAGCCATCAAGCTAAGACAAGTTTGGATTAATCAAATGGATAAAAATCCCATTGAGTAGTATATGGTGACTAAGGCCATTTAGGCTAGCAAAGGCCCCTCAGGTCACTAAAGGATGAGAATATAAAAATAGAGTTGTTCTCTATTTTATAAGAATCTTTTATTTATACTGTATATTTTAAATTCTAGCCATTTTGGAACTTGTTATATAAGGTTATGAAGATGCTGTTTTGTTGACTTGTCATTGGTTTTGTGTATTGACTCATTGTTTCAATGGCCTTTGGTTAAAATTTGAATAAAAATTTGAATTTGCTACTATATTTATTACATTATCAAATTGGTCTGTTTGCCTGAAGTTTACAATGAACACCAGCTGAAACCATACCGGCTAGATTGTGTTCAACATCTCTGGTTGGCCAGGTGCTTATTAATCCTCAGGAGCTGCTGCTGAAAACTGTGCAATCCTTAATGGAAGGGGGGGGGAAGTATCTCATAACCTTTGTCCTCTTGTTTTGCTTTGGCCACAAAGAAGAATTATAAGTGAAGCCATCTTGCAGTTTATGTATCTTATTTGTTCCCTATGTAACCCTCACTGTGTATTAGGGATAGCTTATGAGGCAATAGGAGAAATAGGTTTGAAGGCTTTGTTAAGGCATTTACTGGAAAACAAACTTTTTCAGATGAATTTAAAAATAGGATTGTGGGCAAGAAGTCTAGAAATAACAGTCTTCTGTGGGAAAAAACCTGTATGTACAGTCTCTGATGTGCCGTTTTACACCTTATGTAACCTTGATTTTAATATTTTCATATCTGAGGTTACTTTTGCTTGATGGGAGAAACTGTAAGAACGGGCATCTTCACTGACTTTTGAGAAAATGGCAGTTAGAAACTTTCAGACATGTGGATATGTTAATGAAGGGTTGATGAATGACAAACTGGAATGAGCTCATGTGTTTGGTAAGCCACCTAAAGAGAGGGTTTCCTACACTCCATCTTGAGTAGCAGCTGACTGGACATTGCAATTTCTTCTTAGTCTCAGACAAGGAAAGTTGATAAAAATATAAGGAAAGTCTTCGGTGAAATACATTTTAATAAAGATGTAAAGCCATCTCTGCATTGAGATGTGTTTGACTTTGCAGTTGGCTGAAGTATAAGAGTAGTTAATTAGGCTGGATAAGATGTTGGGGCTATAGCAGTGTCTATGGAGTGTCAGCAGCAGAAGTAAAATAATTCATTGAAATTCTGCACTGGCCTAGTAGAGGTGCATTTATCCTTGATCCTTTGATTTGGAGTAGCTGTGTGTAATCTCCTCTTTAAAGACAGCAGTTTCAATATATAATCATTTCATATTTGTACTGTATCTTCTTTTACTCCCAAGTTACGATGATTATTAAAGGTCTTTGAAATAGGTCCCTATTGATGAGAGCAGTTTCTCTCTTTTAGTGACTCATGCACTCTGTAACTTTATTGCTAGTTCCTTAGGAACACTCGGGGGGGGGGG